CCAGATCCGCGCATGTTTAATATAAACATTAAAATATGCAATATCAACATTTTAAAATGTAATAAATATACATAATTCTTATATAAGTATGAAACAATTTTATTTATTTCTTTTATCTATAAATTAGCTTTAATCAGTAATAAAATGTTTTCATTAAATAATTTATAAATCTGTTTTCACTTGAAATATAAAATATTAAATCTATAATGAATTGAGGATTTTCCAAAGTGAATAATTTTTGTTTTTTAATATTAACATTCATCAATTATTATGATTAGAGCAGTAGGTATAATTATTTACAAAATATCTGTTAATAGAAGTACTACGTACATATACATACATGAAATTGCAGTTGGAATTCTTTATTTTAGAATAAATAAGTAAACAAGTATTTAAAATGACATTTTTTAAATGATAAGCTCCAAATATATTATGGATAATTATGTGAAATTCGTTAGTTACAAAAATGTTAATGAATAATGATAAATATCAACAAAAAAATGGTAATAGAAATTAAATGACTTGGAATTAGCTTTTGCAACTAGGTAGGTACATACATGGAAAAAAACAACTGCAGCATTCTATAACATTCTAAAACAACACCATATTTTTAGAATCTTCAAATACAAATTTTTTCAAATAAAAAAATAGATATTTTTAAAAAATACAAAATGCTTTGCTTGTTTCGAACGAAGCCAGCAGAGCACCTCGCTTTTTTAGAGCCTTTTTAAAGCCTTTTTCTACAAACAACCACACTCTATTTTTAGACTCTTGAAATATTATAAAACTTTATTAAAAAATTGCTATTTTTAAATAATACAAGGTACATTTTTAGGCTATTTTTCGAGAAAAACAAAATAGTATTTTTTAAAAAATACAGTCTTTAAAAGCTTTTATAATATTTCAAAAGCCTAAAAATAGCCTAAAAATGTGGCGAGATTGTTTTTTGTTTTAAAAAAGCGAGGTGCTTTGCTCTTCGTTCGAATGTTATTTTTTAAAAAATACAATTTTTTTTTCGAAAACTTATATTTTAATAATCGAATTAAATTACCGGTTTTGAGCCTACATTAAATTGTAATTAGATGAAACAAAATGGATTCTATGTATTTTGAGGTAATCTTTTCTAAAAAAGGCAAAACAAAATGTAGCAGTTTTTCGAAAGTGCCGAAATTTTGGATTTTGTCAATTTCAAAACGCAGTTTTCGACATTTGAAAGCTTAGAAAAAATTCTAATTTTTATGTCTCATGAGAAATTTTGATCGGATGCTCCGTTCTCGCGGTATGGACGATTGAAATTTGTTTAGTATTTTGAGGCGGCGAAGGTTGAAAAATTGAATTTGTTAAATGTTCAAACACTAAATTCTTCATAACTTTGGTAAAAATTAAGATATTTGAAGAAACAAAAATTCGTTTTGAACTTAAGGGATGTGACTATTGATTCCCAGAAGGGGGCAAGAGAAATCCCAAAATTGGGCATATGGCGGAAGGGCAAAGTGTACCGCAAGCTTAATTTTTTTAATGCCAGTTACAGAGCTTACTCTTAAATATGAAATCTTATACGTGTGTGAATTTGACCGAAATCGGATTATAATTGGCCAAGATATCAAACAATTTAACAAATTTTTTTCCCTAAAAAAAAATAATTTTTTTTTCGAAAGTTTGAAGTGGCACAAAAATGCCAAAAATGCACCCAATGACTTAAAACTTTTTTTTTTTGAATACTCTATTATGTCTAGAATACGATTACATTACGGAAAATTCTGCAAAAATATTTTATCTATATTTTTGACCACTGTTCATTGAGTGACGACCAAAAAACACGGTTTTTGAGAAATATTAATTTCTCAATAAATTCCACGGTAACCTACTTATATATTTTATTGTAAAAAACAAAACCTAAATATTTCAAAAACCTTATTTTTAGTTTTTTCTACTCCATCTAATCAATAAATAATAGTATACTTAATTATAATTCGAAAATTGTTGTTGAAGTCTTACTTTCTCGTAAGACACTGTACAAATACTGACATTTTTAAAATTCTTTTTTCTCAAAAATTTGCACGGTAAGGTATAGTTAAAAGTTCACTATTAGATAAATAAGGACTTCAACTATTAGAAAAAAATTAATTTTAGTCATAATCTAATATTTTTATTTAACATTGGTGGCGAAAGGACCTCCTTAATACATGGATTTTTTTTAAATAGTTTTTTCTGTTTCTTGCATAAATTGTTCGTTTTATTTTTTATTTAAAAAAAAAAAAAATGTTCTTTTTTATTTCCTTTATAATTCATTAAATATAATTAAAATAAAATTCTAATGTTTGTCAGCACATACAGGTGTTTTCACCTAGGTGCTTGGTATTATATAATTGGTTTCCATTATTGTACTTTATTGTAACTTATAACTAACTATACCTAAGTCTTTTACCTCTGTATGTCGTTCTATTACTTCTCCATTTATAAGAATCAAAAATAACAGGATTTTTCAATCTACTTATTGTCATACTGCTACATTTTTTGTATTGAAATTTAATTTATTTTTATAACACCATTCATTTATGTTGTCTATATCTTTTTGTAAACTCACATAATACCTAACAGTCTGTATTTTTTTTTTTTAATTTTAAGATCATCGGCAACTAGAAGACAGTCTGTAAACCTAAGTATAGATGGTAAATCATTGATAAAAATTTAAAAAAGGAGTGGTCCCAAATTGGAGCCCTGTGGCACTCCACTACATGCTCTAAATTTTCCCGATGTGTTCCCATTATGCTTAACAATAGATGATTTCAACGGAAGACATCTTGAAGTTGCAAGGTTATTGGAAGGTCTTTGTGCCATCTATAAGTTTACATAACAACTAATAAAATAAAAAAGAAAACTGTAAATTATTATTTTGGCAATCTGTTCAAAGTTACGGCGGCGTCAACATAAATTTCTTCTTTTTTTCCTCCCTTCTTTAGTTGTATGGGCTCAGTTTTCACTCTCACAATCGCCAAGTTCTGGAATCTAGGGTCCGTATTTATAAATAGAACTTACCTGAGTCGGACTTGGGTAAGTCGTTCTTGAACTAAAATCGAAGTTCGGTTATATCGCGTGAATTTAGAGATGGGTAGTAACAAATCCGTAAATGTACATAACAGCTACAGATTTGCTAATATCCATCTCTAAATTCCAGTTTAACACCAAACCACCTAGAACTTTAGAGACGTTGTAACCGAACTTCGATTTTAGTTCAAGGACGACTTACCCAAGTCCGACTCAGGTAAGTTCTGTTTATAAATACGGACCTAATTATAAGTACCTTTATTTTTGACAAACCTTGTATACGACTGATAAAATTTGATATCTAATGGTTTTATTTTAGGTTTAAGACCACATACACATACAACTATGAAGAAGACAAAGAAAGAAAAAATTAATACCGACGCCGTAACCTTAAACAGATTGCCAAAATAATAATTTACAGTTTTCTTTTTTATTGTATTAGTTGTTATGTAAACTTATAGATGGCGCAAAGATCTTCCAATGACCTTGCAACTTCAAGATGTCTTCCGTTGAAATCATCTATTGAATATCTATTTTCTAGGTAGCTCTTAAATAGTGTAAGAGTACTATTTGTCAAACCAAATTTACTCAGTTTTAAAAGCAGGACATCATGATTTACCTTATCAAATGTCAAAGTCTGTGAATATTACATCAAGTTGGATTTTGTTTTCAAGTGCTTTATAAGCTGTAGTTACCAAACCAAACAAATTTGTACTGGCACATTTTTTTGAAACAAAACCATGCTGCTGGGATACCAGACTGCTCTCAACATGTTGATATAATCTTGCATGCAGTGTTCATATAATTTAACAGGGGATGATAAAAGTGATATAGGCCTAAAGTTTTTGATTTTAATTTTATTTCCAGATGCAAATCTCTAAGTAAGAATGCCTTAAAATCGTTAGGTATATTAAAATTTTTAATTTTTATCTTTAATTTTAACTTTTATAGAAAATTATGTTTTACATTGTTATATTTATATTTTCTTTAAAGTGTCTTTTCTGTTATTTTGGGATTGTGTCTATATTTAAGTTGTCTATTTTAAATTGTCTGTTTTAATTGTGATTATATCTGCTAACTAGCTATATCAATTAATATTAATATGTAATTTATAATATTTTTTTCTTTATGTATTGGAAATCCATAAATAAATAAATAAAAAGGGCCCTATAATATTTAAAAATGTTTTTAGACAAGTTTTACAATATTTCCAAAAAAACTATAAATAACCAAGATGCTCTTGATGGATTATTTTGAAGCTAGCAAAGCACCCTGTATTTTTAAAAAATACAATTTGTTTTGAAAAGTCTTATATTTCAAGAGCCTGAAAATGTGGCACAAGTAGTTGTTTACAGAAAAAAAAATTAATAAACTGATGTTCTCTGCTGACTTTGTTTCAACAATATCTTTTTTTCTCGAAAAGTTTTATACTATTTTAATAATCTAAAATTAGCCTAAAAATATTGTATTTTAGAAAATGTGGCATAAATTTCAACTCAAAATTTCCTAGGTTCTCTACTGCCTTCTTTGGCATCCAGACAAACCTTTAAAAAAACCAAGCATTTCAGGTAAAAGCTATAATTACTTTCACTTTAGGTAAGTACTAGCTTTAATTTTTATTTTGTACCTGTTTCAAAGAAGAAAAATCATCAGTAATTTTTGAATTCTGGCCAAGAATTTTGACATTTCAGCCACTGTGTGTAAGGGGTAATAAACTGATAGGGATTCGATAAGTCTAGAATTTAGATCTGCAGTACCTACTTAGTACACCTAATAAATGTTTTTATTTTTATTTAATTAAGTGCTTAGTCAACATCAATTATAGATAAACATTTTTCAAGGATTGTAAATGAGCATTAAAGTAAAGATAAGGATGGATTTAAGGATTAAGTATTGTTATCTAAATATTTTGCAATGGATTAAAATGTTTTTAAAAATTTAAACATACTCACCCTATAAAACTTGGATCAGCAACTTTCACCAGTATATTATCCACACTATGGACATGAACATACTTTATTTCTCTTTTCCTCATAAATTCTAAAATTTTATTTTTCCTTAAAGCTTTATAAATTCCTCCATTACCGTCTGGTGCCAAGGCCACTGAGTGTTTTTCATCTAAGATAATTTTTCCATCGAAACTAAAACATGGCAATAAACCTTGTTGGAAAAGAACTACATCTTCTTTATTAAGACCAAAATATGAATGCTTTTCTAAATAATGCTCTGTGGATTCGTGAGTGGCCTGACTTGTCATTATAAACCAACATATCTTTCCCACTTTTCCGAATTTTTCTTCCGCTACTTTTTGTATACGCTTTATCCTTTCAGCCTGTATTTGAAAAAGGGTTTTTCCAGAAGGTAAATCAATAGGAAACATACCTTTCGGGTAGGTCACTCCTAGCCTGGAACCCTGTCCTCCAGCTAGTAAAATTACACCAACACGCCCTTTTGATATTTGTTTTAACCCTTCTACATAATATTTGTCTAAAACAGCGGCATCTATTTCTAATTCGGCTTCAAATTTGTGCGGTGGTACTGGTTTCAGGTGATCGTCCAATTTTTGAATTCCTTCAAAAATATAACTTTGGGCCCTGTTGAATACGTGGTTGGCTTCTTTAAAATTTATTGTTTCTAGTTGGCATAAAAACGATTCTTGTTCGTCCTCTGATAAATCTTTCCAAAAGTTCAGCAAATGTTGCTGATTGTTTGAAAATAAAATTTCATCCATACTGTTCACTGACATCTCAAAAGGTGTATTTGTATTTGTTCTAACCTCGAAATTTCGCTACATACCTATTTCGTTTATCTATTATGTCGACGTGTTCACGAATAGGGTTCTTTGCAACCTACGCAATCGCTTATCACTATTAAATTCACCGAAATATAAGTCTGTAGGAAATGTTGGAACATCCTTTTTATATCAGAATATTACATTTAAATCAAGATATAAACATTGCCGGTCAAATGTCAAAACTAGGTCACTTCGGTCACTTGTCACTTGCTTTGCTCATACAAAACACAAAACACCACAAAAGTCACAAAACATATATGTCTCCGTTATTAAAGACGTTACATGGTTGCCAGACCTCATTAAACAAATAATTTCTCCTGAAAGTGATCGATTTATAACAAATTTCAATATTAAATAGGCAGGTACAGTGTATTAGAAATTCCATTCAGGTAACCAAAATTAAAAGTGGAACATTTTTCGATTGGCCTTAGTCTTAATATTTAAATTCGTCTAAATACGAAACGATTGTTATTTTTCACATCTGGTTGTCACAAACGCTGTTCAGATATACAGGGTGTTTCATAATATATGCGCAGGACTTCAGGACGTAAAATTAAATTTGTAAAATTAAAAAAAAATCAATACAAACATTGGTTTTTTACTTAAAATAACAAAGTAAGACAAATTTATCTAAAAATAAGTGCAGCGATTTAAACTTGAGAATATTTTTTAATTTTTATATAATTTCCTTTAATAATAGTTAATCAAGTAGATCAATATCTTTTTTATTCAATATGTTGTACAAAAGTAAAATCTTTTTACATAAAAATAAAATTTATCCTCTTCTAATAAATGGTCATATATTTATGTTACATTATAGCATAAATAAAAATAGTTCTAAGCCACATATATGATTACAATAAATGAATATTTATCACCTTCTCATAAATAATAAACTAACAAAATAAAAATATAGGTACATATCTACCTATACAAAAAAAGTTAAAAGGCTTGTTTTAAAAAGACAATATTTCTCTTCATCTATAGGTAAGAAATCAGTAAAATATGTACCTAGTCATTGTTGCAGTCGTCTATTATTATTTACTGATCTAGCTTTAGCATCGTACAATTGCCATCTTGGTAAAAAATCTTGTGAGCCTTTAAAACTTACCTTACATAAATGTACAATCGTTCACCATTTAAGCTTTTAGTGAACCTTTGCAATATTGGTACCTTATTATACTATTTAGCTAATTTTGTCCAATCGTTCAGTGCTTTATAGGAAGGTTCTATTATCGCACATGTGTAATTGCGTTTGTGATATACCTACCTCTAGTTTTGTGATATTGGTAATTGATTTCAAGAACATTTTAATAATAAATTTATATAAATATTTTGTACCTACAATTTCAGCTTATTAACGTAGATGGGATGTTTTTGTACATATTTCTCTCATCAGCAATAAATGAGAATTGATATAATATTCCATAATTAACACAATAAAATGTTTTTAATGTAAAACTGAGTCGAATTTACATATTCCTTTTCTTTGTTTATGCTTGATGTAAAAATAAAAATTCGAATAGTTTCATTAAATTTTGCAATTCCTCAGTTCTGTATAGTAAATAAATAATTTGGAATTTTATACTTTCGAGGAATAGTTCACAGTCAATAAAACTAGGTATTTTAAATGACTATTCACCAATAAAGTGCACAACTTCAAATGATTTTCAAATTTATTTCCATTTATAAAATGAAATCTGGCAACACAGCAAAGAATACCCACCTCATTCATATTGATAGGATGTCTGGTATATACAGCATGTCTCAGGAACCATATGAATGTTGATTTACTTGTGCCGCGTTTGAGAATCCACATCGGATGCATTTTTTACATCTCGAGCGTTTTTTTATCCACATCGGACACATCTGTCCCATTACCTTTACGTATACTGAATCACGTGATCAAAGATTTACTACACTGAGATGCATCCGATTTGGATTCTCAAACGCGGCACTAATACAATGTAAAAAAATACAGTAGGTACAAACTTCAGATAAGTTGTTTTTTAATTTTCTTTTTTTTAGATAGATATTTATCAAGCCAAATACCTACATAATGTTAGTGTTTATGGTAAAGATATTATTTCTTTTAATTTTGGTACAGTAATATGTAATGGAGAATTGAGTATAGCTATAGTTAATTTAATTTAAAAATAATATACGTACCAATAAAAACTTACGTGGTGGATATTTTATAAACGAATAGAAATATTTTAATTCTGTAAATTCCAGTTTGCAGAGCACTAAGATAACTTCAGTTTTGGATACTAATTGAACTTAAATATATCAATATTATGTAGATGGCCCTGTGTTCGAGAATTTTTCTCAACGAGAGGGTCTTTCAAATATGTAACTAGTACATCTTGTAGAAAATGCATTCTTACCTATATTTTTGTACTTTATTGAAAACAATACCACTCTTTTAAAAAATTGTATTTATCTACAAAAACTGAAGCTTATTTAGTGCTTTGTTAATTGGCTTTTATCTACATAATTAAAATATATCTACCTATTCTTTTCCAAAAGATCCAACCTGAGAGTTTCTAAAACATGCAGCTACATTCAAAAATAATCAAAATACTTTTACCTGTAATTTTATTGTCGATATAAACTACCCCACAGTTAACAGGAAATAACTCTTTTCTTCTAGATAACAAATTTACCAAAGTGTCATTAGTAAGACGATCGGATGGACAGCAGTATAAATTAAGACCACTATGGCAAGGAAATATAATTCTTCCCGGACTCGGAGCACATATTGATAATGGCACGCATTCGTTCTGTTCTGTACAGGACGAAGCCTCAGCGGAAATTTCTAAAACTTTAAAATTTATATAGTTTTTATTGAATCTGTCATTGCAGGAAAGTTATAAATGGAAGCAAGGAGCTATTTGTTTTATTGGGACCGTTTCCTAAATTATTACAAATGAGCAATGGTGCCATTTGATTAGGTGAGGAAAACCCGGAAATAAGTATATCCATCACGGATTTCTTCCTAAGTTATTCATAGCCCAGACAGCACCCTAAGAAACCAGCTGACGACATTTGTACTTCATTATTTGGTCATCACTGACGTCAGGATGACTTCCAAAATGACGTTCGAATGACGTTATTATGACCATCTAAGTCACAGACGAATGACGCTATATTACGACGTCAAATCGACGTTATGAATTAACGTCAAAAGTACGTCTTATAAGAAGGTAGTCTAACGATTTAATGACGTCAAATTGATTGATCTATTCTTTTCGTTTCATATTTTTTTTTGTTTTAATTAACATGAAATTTAGAATGATTGGTATTTACATTACCTGGGGGTGCGTGAATTTTTCTAGTTCTAGATATAGATTATTTCATAGCCAACGTTAATAAATCGTTTTTTACTTACTATTAATTTGTAGGACAAAATATGATAATCCAAAAAGCAATATTGCCATTTAAACTAAGATTTTAAGTAACAAAACTACTTTGAAAACTTCACAATTGAACCACTCGTATTTACTAGCCAACGTGTTCTTGACCATATCGATAAGTTATTCAAGAAAATAAAACAAAACAATATTATTTCAAGTCGTCCAGGTCACTCTGAACAAGTTACAATTTTAAAAATATTTATTTTCTTTAATGTTTTGTAGTCTAAGCGGTCTAAATAAAATTTTAAGAATAATAATGAAACATTTTAATTAGGTATATTTTGAAGAAGATATATGTATTTATTGTTCTGAGATCCACTTATTATATGGAATCATCAGTAATTATTCTAATTTTGTATAAGTACTCTTTCATAAGTCAGGAATAATATATTATTACATAACTACTGTGGTGGAAGGTATTTTGTCTTCTACTTGAAACTTTTCAATTTATTTAAAACATCGGGCATTGTTATTGACATAACCGCACATAACCAACATCCTAACCAATATCCTTAACCACTTTTATCACCTTCATCCAAAAATTGTATTTGAACGGTTTTGTCAACTAAAATAAATTTTCATTATTATATGCATAATTTTTTATGTCTTTTATCATGAATTGTTGTTTTTAAATAAAGATACGTTTTTAACTTTAATAGGTAGTAGAAGCCACGTGATTCATCGAAAAGAAGACGTATCTGCATAGCATTAAAAATTGACTACTTCATTAAATCGTCACTAGATGCCGCCCGAGATTGCATCCAACACTTTTTACTGTAAAATTTATCCTACTATAATATCTTCATACAACGCTTCTATGTTCAGTTACTGACATCCAACCATTTGTGAATTGTAATTATTTGCATTTTGTAATTTTACTTTGAGTTTTCTTTTAAGACTTGAATCAAAAAGAAGACGACCCTCTTAATGAAACTGAAGAGCCATTGCTGAATGAAAATATATTTAAAACTTTTTGGCAATGAACTCAATATGGATGAATACTGATGGATTTATTTAGAGAGAGGTATTAGTCTCATGGGACAAGTTTTATGCATGAAGGTACTTTCTAAGTAGGAATTTAACTATATTAAACAAAAATGTATATTTAGGTAATCTAATATACATCAGAGTGTAAAATTTGTTGCTTATCTTCGAATTTTGAGGCGTTTTTTTGGTTTATTTGAATTTGTGTGTATTTAAATTTTATTAATAAATAATTTACTGTATGTAAACAAATGTAGTTTTTAATTTATTAAAAGCATGTTTTTACTTCACAAAATATAATAGTTAACAAGAAGTTACAAAATTGGATGTACCATCACGACTAATTATCAAGGTGAGCAACAGGCAATACAGTGTTTATTTTTAAATGCTACTAAGAAGGTAGGCTAAGTGGTATATTTTAAAATGGTGTAACAAAAAATTTAATAGCTCTAAAAGAAGAAGCCCTTTAATTATAAAAAATCTGAATAAATATGGGGGTTTTAATGGGGGGTTGAAATTAAAAAAAAAATCAAAAATGAAAAGCGATATCGACATGAAATTTTTAGTAAAAATTAAGCTCTATAAGGAGATGAGGCCTATTGATTGTGAAAACAATCTGGTTAAAAATGGGGGTTAAGGGGGTATGTTAAACTGCGTTGATTATCATTTAGAATGCTAGGCATTATATATCTTTATTCTAGTTTGTATCTGTGTAATATTATGTATTGTAATGGGACTGATCTTATAAAATAAACATTTAAACATTTTAGTTCTTATTTTATTTGCCAATAAAAAGTAGGTATTTAAAAAATATATTTTTTATTTGACAAATTGTGAAAATAATTAAACTTATAATAAAAACTGAAAAATGGTAGGTAAAAGTTCATATATTTTTTACACAAAAATCAATGTCAAGCTTTCTACATAACCTGATATATATTTAAAAATAATCTCAAATTATGAAGAAAATTCACTTTACTAACTACTAATGTTTATAGATGGTTTTCAACGTAATAAAAACAGAACAAATATTACACTAACTTTTGTTGCTTTTATTTAAAATCTTAGAATACCAAGATGTAGGCTACCAGTTTAACATTTAAGAAAAATATGTAGTAGTAATTGCATCAAAATGGCTGCGCCCTATCTTGGGCGTGTCGGACGTCTCTCTTGCGCCGTATAGTAATCAAAGTATGTGAGACTTTCTAAGAGCTATGGTCTATTCTTTGTAAAAGATTTCTTATCTCCTTTAGTCTATATCTGTGAAATAGATAACTGACACTAAGCAGCTAGATGTGGGTTGATTTCAATTTAAAAAATTTATAATTTTATTTTGTTTTTAATTCAATAAAAGTGAAATAAATATATTTAGATTTTAATAAGCACCCTTTTATTTTATTATAATTAATAATTATGAGCTGCATCCTCTGAAAATCTGTAGCAACTTATTTTCGTCCTTAGAGACGAAAGTTAGAGTTAAGGGATTTTCTCCCACTATGGTCTATTTTTATGTATGAGAGAGTAATAAAACAGCATTTCTAATACAAAACTTAGTACGGTCATTTTAAATATTTTTACAGAATAATCTAAATATTTCCTAAAATTGTAATAAATGTACCTGAGCTATTACAAGTTTTGGGTCTTTTATTGGTCCTTTATAAACATAAGCTGTATAGAACAATAGTAAAAGGTTTGGACAGGCCAAAAGCCCTGTGTATTAAAGATTACATAGCCGTATCTTAAGATTATTTTCAATAAGTACCTATTTGCCAATTTTGTTTTATTTTAATTCCAAGAATTTCTTACAGTAATCGAATTATAAGTAGATAAATACCTTCCCAACAAATTTCACCGATTATAGGTTTTCCATTTAGTAAGGAGGTCCAAGTTGTGTATTCTTGACAGTTTACTAAATGTCGTTAAGTTGCAACTTGCAAGGTGCAGTGTAAATTCTAGTATGATCATGGACAATTTGGAAGGGCCGCGTAAACGACAAAAAATCGGTCCTTTAACAGTTAATGAAAAAACATTAATATTTAATTGTTTTAAATCATTTACAGACAAACATTTATGTAAAAGTGTTGATGACACAGTGGAATTAGTAGTACGCTTGGTGTTGGGAAATCTATGATTTACAGAGTTGTTAAAGAAGAGAAATGTGGCGAGTTTCAAACAGCACGTAAAGCTCCAGGAAAACCAAAATTTCAATTAGAAAATCTTTTGAAAGAAAGACTTCCAAGGAAAGTGCATGCATTCTTATTTAGAAAAGAATTTCCGACAGTAGACAAAGTTCTTGCCACGGTTCGAGATGATAAGGATTACCCTGAAATGAGTCGAAGCACACTATGGAAACTTTTAAAAGAAATAGGTTTTCTATGGAAAAATCATTCCAGAAAGACTATTTTAATAGAAAGAAGCGATATTGTAGTATGAAGAAGAAATTACCTAAGGACTATAAAAGAAATGAGAGACCAAAAAAGAAATATGTTTTATTTAGATGAAACATGGATCAACGAGGGACATAAACCAAATAAATTTTGGCAAGATGAAACTGTTACAAGTCGAAGACAGGCTTTTTTAAATAATTTATCTACTGGTTTTAATCCACCATCAGGAAAGGGGCGCAGACTAATAATAGTACACATCGGTAGTTCAAACGGTTTTGTTAAAGGTGGTTTATTGACTTTTGAATCTACTCGTACCGGTGACTACCATGAGGACAAGAATGCTGATGTCTTTAAAGAGTGGTTCGAACAAATTATACTTAGATCTTCTTCCTCAGAACTGTATAATAGTAATGGATAATGCAAGTTATCACTCGAGACTTATAGAAAAAATGCCCACAACCAAGTGGTTAAAAAAAGATTTACAGAATTGGCTAAATTCAAAGAATATTAAGTTCCATCCCGGTTTTGTGAGAAAAGAACTGTATCATTTGTGTTCCCTTCATAAAGAGAAATTCAAAAAATATGAAATTGATGAAATTGTAAAAAATTGTGGGATGACGGTGGTTAGATCACCACCATATCATTGTGAAGTAAACCCGATTGAACTGATATAGGCACAGATAAAGGGAGAAGTTTCAAAAAAAAATTATTCTTTTAAAATGAGTGATGTTAAACAGTTGTTTTTGGAGGCTGTAAATAATGTGAAGCCTGAAAACTGGGAAAAGGCAGTAAATCATACGATTAAAGAAGAAGAGAAAATGTGGAAGTTGGACAATATTACTGATGAAATAATCAAGCCATTCATTGTAAATATTGGTTGCGACAGTTCATCTTCTGATTTCGGTTCTGATTTGGATTTGTAGGTAAGAAGTAGTTTTTATATTAAAATTATTATTTATGAACGTAACGTTGTTTAAAAGTCAAAGTTTAAACCCTTATACCTACATAACCCGTTTGACACAATGTTCTTAACATACCTTGTGGAAAAATAAAACATTTTAGAAAAAATTGCACTTTTTTACCTTCAGCTGTTTAGAAGTTATAAGCAGGTTAATTAGGTGAAAATATAAGTGTATACTCGAGGAATAACTTCAAAAAATATTTTAACTGTCTACTAAAAGAAGTGATACGCCTATGGATTACGAACGCTTTATTATTTTAATACTCTCTCATACATAAAAATAGACTATAGTGACGAAAATATGCCTTTTGTACATTTTTTTTAACCTGTATATCGTAGAGTACTTTGAATACCCGAAATCCAGCATCTTCTGAATTGATTTATTACCTAACCTTTAACAGCTATTTAATTTAGTTACCATTACGATTATTTATGACAGAAGTAAAAAAGGGTAAATGAAATGCTTGCAGTAATAAACAGTTATAGGTAACATAATTTGTGTACATTATCACGAACTGCTAAAAAGAATTTCCACAAACGATCGATATTTTCCTTGGCAACGCTTCTTTTGTGTTTATAAACAAGTGCAACAGACGGGGTTAAAGTGCAATGTACAATCACACTTCTTCCGTTTATAATAATTCATTACTAAGAGTGCCCATAAACCCCATAGTTGGTCAACCACTACCACGTTACGAGCAAGACTGTACTTACCACCTAGAGACACAAAATAGAAAAAAATTTACAGAAGAATTAGACGAAATGGCTAGGAAAAAGTATTTAGATAAAGAAACTACAAATTCCTTCGTAGATTTTTTCAACGATATCCCGGAATATCACCAGGTCAACCACCTCTCAAACTCAGAATTTTACCAAGAATTGGAAAAATTAAAACTCAAGAAAAAAGCATTCGAAGATAGTCTTCATAAAGAAATAAAATTCGACCCTAAAAACTCTGAAGTTATTGAAGATTTTAAAAACGAAAAGCTTGGTAGAAATAGAAATAAAGTAAAAACGAAAGCTACGTTGAAACCGTTTTGTGCCACGCCAATCAATAAACCTCTTAACCAAATTTTGACGCCTGATATTGATTCGGAATTTTCAGACAAAGAAGAGATTAGAGATAGGAAGAAGTCTACTTTAAAACCATTAAGTATGAGTGAAATATTTACGTTTTATGGTTAAATATTGAGTTTTTAGATCTAGTAAGTACACAGCTTAGTCTCTCTTTTTAATGAAGAATTGAATGAAGGTAAAATCTGAAACATTGCAAATTTAAGTTTATTCTTACTATCTATTGATATTTAACCTTGTTACACTATAAAAGGTTATGTAACCAACTAATGGATAGAGCATTAAAAAAACAATCAACTTTGAACTTTAAAGTTTCATTGTGGATCGGTTCATCGTCACATTTATAATCAAAATGTTCTTTTAGTTTTCACGGTGTTAGACCTCTTTGTTTGTTGAATTTAGGTTCTATGTCTAAGCTGAATGCTATTTCTTTAGCATCAATCAATAGATCATCAAAACCTTTATCAGAGCGGCAAGCTTTTAAAAATTATTCCAATTATTTAAAAGATTAAAACACTGAGCAACATCAAAGTTCAGTTTGTATAATTTTACTAACAATGCAAATCAACTCAAAATTTTGCAATTTTTTGGCCAACGTTGCAGCCAAATATTTAACGTTATTGTCAAAGTTTCCTTCGCTTATTTTAAACAGAGCATCATAAACATCCCCAAAATGATACCTTAAAGGAGTTATTGCATCTATTCTACTAGACTTTTAAAGTTAAATTTGTTACTTTAGATAAATTTGATTTCAAAATTGACTAGTGTTTAGTGGGAGCTGAAAAAAATACAAACAGTTCTTGAACTAAAGAAAAAAAATTGATTCGATTTTGCGGCATCACTAACGACTCCATTAGGCTATGATTGCAACAAGGAACAAAGAAACCTTGCGGATTCAAATCCATGTTTTTTTTGTAAACCCTTATATTTCCAACGCATATTTGACCCATTGTCGTAACCCTAACCCCACAAATCGTTAATATTGTAACGCAGCACCCTGCGGCTATTATAGGAAACGTACAGATAGAAAAAGAAGTGGAATGTTACTCATAGCCCTACAGTGTGCTGGGGTCGTCATAGCAGAACAAATAAAACAACGTAAATGAAAGTGATGAAGAATCGAATAGCGAAGAAGAAACAGCACCTAACTAAATCAACAAATGGTGTCGCACAGAAAAAGATTTCAAAGAAAGCAGACTCTAGTAGTGAAGACAGTTCTGCAACTAAACCACAGCCAGTTAAACAAGCGCAAAAAAAGAAAGCAGTTCAGATGACTCATCTGAAGAAGAAGTGAAGGCTCCAGTAAAGCCCACTCTTAAACTGCATACAATTAAAGTCCGGAAGAAAGATAGCAGTAGTTCTGAGGAATCGTCAGAAGATGAGGCACCTAAAAAAGCTCTACCTGTTAAACCTATTCAAAAACTGAACGTCTGAAAAACAAAAGCTCTGATGACTCTTCTGATTTTTCAGATGACGAAAAGAAACCTGCAGCAAAAACAACTCTAAAAACTACTTCGCAGAAGTCAGTTGTTAAAGTTCAACAAAAACAAGATAGTTCTGATGATAGTTCTTCTGAAGAAGCTCAAACAAAAACCTGTAGGAAAATCTGCTGTGAAGCCACAACCAATTGTTAAGCCACCTATGAAATTCTAGTTCTGACTCTGAGGAATCATCTGAGAAAGAAGCAGCCAAAAAAACCTATAGTTAAAACGCCACCAGTCAAACAGGTACAACCGAAAGCGGTTTCCAAAAAAGAAAGTAGTGATGACACTTTTTCTGAAGAAGAGGCACCTAAAAAGGTCACTCCTAAAGCACCTCTAGTTGCCGCTAAAACAACTGCTGTCAAAAAAAAGCAGAAAGTTCAAATGATTCAGACTCATCTGAAGATGAAAAATCTCCATCCAACAAACCTGCTCTTACTCCAGTAAAGAAGACCATCGTTGCTCCAAAAAAAAGCTGAAGCGTGCAGTTCAGAAGATAGTAGTGATGAAGAGGAGGTCAAATCTCCTGTCAAAAAACCAGTCATAGCAGCTCCGAAAAAAACAGTTGTCAAAAAGGACAGTTCTGAAGATGTTTCTAGCGAAGATAAAGCTATAGCTAAACAAAATCCAGTAGCTAAGAAAGCTGTAAAAGCTGAAAGTAGTTCAGAGGAAACTAGTGAAAAAGAAAAGAAGCCTACACCAAAAAACCTGCCAGTAAAAAAAAAGCTCATCAGAGGAAGAAGTAATGATGATAAAAAAACACCAGCACCAACAAAATCTGCAACCTCCACTCCCGCTCCAAAAAAGCAGGTAGCTGCAAACAAAGAATTTTCAGAAGAATTATCAGATGAAGATGAGAAAGAAACTAAATCTAAAAAAAATGACCAGACTGAAAATGATGAAATTGAAATCACAATCACTTTGTGAAAGCCGGTTAAAATAATAGTTTCAATGGAAATGATAGGAATTCATTTGGCGGTAATAGAGGTGGAAGAGGCGGATTCCGCGACGGCAGGGGTGGTGACCGCAGAGGTCGAGGTGGTGACCGCGGTGGCAGAGGGGGTATAGGAGGCAACCGCGGGGGCCGAGGTGGATTTAGGGGCGGTTTTAACCGAAACTAAGCAAAGGCGGTGACAGAAAAAGTTGGGGTGACAATAACCGAGGTGGCGGAGGATTTGGAGGAGGGCGCGGTGGTAACAGGGATAGTGGAGGATTTGGCGTTCGAGGGGGATTTAACAAATCATTCGGAGGTAACGATGGGGGCAGCAGTAGAGGAGATTTTGGTAACAAATCGTTTAATTAGAGAGACAGTTTTGGATCTAAACCTGCGGAAAACAAGAAAATTACTTTTGATGATAAGATGGATTAGTTTGAATTAATTTATAATGCAAGAGGATCCTGGGGCGAAAGGGCCGTACACCTCCCACGTAAATACAAAACCTAAGAGAAATATTAGAGAAGGTGTACGAATAACTAGAGAGAAGGGAGCAATGTTACGCAGCACCCTGCTGTAGCCTGCGGCTATTATAGGAAACGTACACATAGAAAAAGAAGTGGAATGTTACTCATCGCCCTACAGTGTGCTGGGCCGTCATAAGTAAAAGTACAAGTAAAAGAAGATCGAATAGTCCAAAAATGTCTGGAAATGTCATTATTCGTCAAGAATATTCTAGTCAACAGTTCGAGAAGGTTCGAGCTATATAAGGATGATCCTGACGTCAGTTTTCAGTTTTCTGATAGACGTTACACGTTAATGTTATCAGTTGCATTGTTATTGTTAAAGTTCAGTTGAAATAAATTGTGATAGCAAAAACCAGTGTAACAATATGATAAACATTTAAATCATTAGCTTATTATTAAATAAGATATTTTAAACAAAATACTTGTTAAATTTTGCAACAACATTTATTGACATAACCTAATAAACAAAACCTAACAGAACGTCAAATCTCAAATGACCACTATATTTAGTTCACTACTTCATAGTAGAGGGCGTATTACTTATCTTTAGATCCCAATTTGTACTGGGACGAAATTAAGTAGTAAAATGACTATTTTTGGCGTACTTTTCATTTTTGTTTTTATGTAAATTTCTTGTTAGGTTCGAAATAACGTTTCATTTAGTATAGTTTCAGTAACCAGGCGCATAACAGCACCTTACGACCTTGTTTGGCTACTGCTTACTCAAGAAAGTGAGGTTAGAGTGTGTTCAAAATCTCAATATTTAATCATAACTTGCAAAAGTTCTACACAACTTATCCTCTTTATTTATTTATATTTTTTAGGTAAAACTTTACGTCCAGCTTTTACTCCTGACATCGATTCAGAATTTTCAGACAAAGATATTTCCACTAAACCACCATCTCGCAGATCTGTAAGGATTGAAACTCCCAGCGACAAATTTTCTTTTACCGAAACCCCAGAACCGCATTTTAGAACCAAATCAAGAGCATATGTTGGTTCTCATAATTTAAGGTCCAGCGGAAATTTGACAGACTGGGAGGATTTTGATTCAAAGTCAAAAAAAAATTATTCACCCACTGTACAAAGCTTAACCGGTTGGAAAGATTTTAAACCAAAACACAAAGTAACTTATAGCCCTAGTGACTTTAAAGAACCATTATCCGATTGGAAACTCATGAGGTCACATTCAAATTTGCCTTACAGTGATTCAAAGCAGAAAGACGATACAACGAAACTAAAACCAGACAATGTATCACCCGATTTTAAAACTGGACAATGGGAAGATACAAGACCAACATTACGTAGATACTTTTCGTCGGAAGAAATAAAAGTAGGAGAAATGTCACCACAGGATTGTTGGAAATCTAGAGATAATACTGTTAGTTGGGAAGGTAAAAGATTAGACCTAAAACCAAATTTTTCGTCAGACAATCTAAAGACTTGTAATTGGGAAGAGACTAAAATTAAACCAAAGACCGATTTTTCTCCAAGAAAAACCTATTCCCCTCAAGATTTGAGAAGCAGTGGAAACCTTACAAAATTAGAAGATTCCCGTCCTAAATCGCGAGCTAAAGATTTTAAAACCAGTGGTAATATCACTGATTGGGAAGATTTTAGTATAGAGAATTTGAATTTGAATTCTGATTGTAATAGTCCTGAACCGTTACAAACTAGAAGTGCTCCAACTACGCCTACAAAAAGTAAACCGAAGACTAACTGGAATAGTGGGGGAATTACTATTCCGAAACCGTTTCAAATGACCGTTAGGTAATTATTTTCTATTTTATTAACTAATAGTTCTATCGTGGGTAGGCAATGGAGTATAAGTCAAAAATTTAGAAGCTGAATAAATCTGTGTTATATGTTATATACTGTCTTCCCATCAAAAAAAGGTATTTTTGTCATTTATATTATGAAATACAAGTTCGATAAAAAGTTCAATAGAAAGTTAAATAAGGTTAAAATTACGCATTCCAAACATAGTAAAAAAGGTCTCTATTTTGATATTGCTAGATATTGGAAAATTGTATAGAAAAACAGAAACAATAAAGAAATAATATTTTGTAGTGCATTTAAATATTACACATAGAAAAATAAATTTTGATCATTAATTACAGAGACGAAGAGAACAAAATTGTGGAGGAATTATATGTTAAAATGAAGAAACCCAAAGAAGAAAAACCAGAAATGTTTAAAGCACATGATGTGCCTATAGAGTCTCAGATTCCTTTATTTGAAAAAATTGTGGCTGAGCAACACAGAAGGTAATAAGTATATAATTATTTTTTTCTGCCATCACATGCTTTCAAGAAAAACGTATATTTGAAAAAGTCATGAAAAAGAAGTGAATACATAGAGAGCTTTTCACTATATTTTTCCACATTTTGAGTAATTTCACTGTAGACTTAAGTAAGGTCATACCTTTTATAAAGATATATAGGAAATAAAATTGTAACCGCATCAGAATATCTTAACTGGTGCAAAAGATACAAGTCCTCAAAATCCAGAAAAATATGGTGACGTACCCGGTATTTAACGATTTGATAACTACATAACTATAAATTAAATAGAAATCCATTTATTTTAAACAGTTTTTCAATACTTACCTACTCATTATTCTTGCAAAATTGTTTTTAACAAAGTAATTTTAATTTGAAGAATTGGGTATAATGTAATGCCTATCTTGTGAATATTGTAATGTTTCTAGTGGGTATTATTTATAATCAGAAATTAATTTTTGGAAAATATGGTACGAGTTAATTTTTTAACTAAATATTATTGATTAAACTAGTGGTCGCCAACCTCTCAATGTGTTGAGCTACTTTGTTAATTTTGGAATAAACAGCGAGCTACCCACACGGAAGCCACGTAACGCAACGTAAATGAAATAATCCATAGTTAATTTATCATTATATGTATTTATTTTACTATTTAACTGGTAATACATAATACATAGGTACTAATAATAAACTAATAACAAAATAACTAATATTACTAGTACGTACTTCTTCATAGCTACATTCCTACCTACCAAACGAAGGTGTTTGAAAAATAAACACAAACTTTTATCCAGCCACAACGGCATGTCACGTAAGATTTAAAAATAGTTAATAATAACAACAAAAAAGTAACGCACTATCATAAACATAAACATTGAAAAATAACACAGCACGTTCAATGAGAAGGCTGACACTCAGACTCATCGATAATTTTTTTTAATGTTTGCAGTATAATTTAATACAGCCATTCGAATACAATTATCCAAATGTTCATCTGTAAGTCGATTGCGATATTTGTTCTTAATAAACTTCATATTGGAAAAAGAAGATTCACACAAATAGGTTGAACTGAATAATGCTTTCACTTTCAAGGCAACACGGCATAGAACTGAATATTTGTCTTTACTTACAATAGGTCAGATACATTTGGTACTTGAGACTAACGATTTTAAGGCTAAATCATTTTAAAACTCAATTACTTCCATTTCTGTTGCAGCGATGTCTTCGCCAAAGTTCTGCATAACACAAGTTGCAAACTGTTGGATATCAATTTTCATAAAGGGTGAAACAACAAACTGCGCTACTAAAGCCATTTCGTTGAAATCCTTAAAACGATTTTTGAAGTTATTCTTCAGGGTAGAAACTATTTCTACATGATATTTGCTGTCATAGGATTCTAATGGATTTTGAGATATTTTTTCTGAAAGAATAGGAAAATGCTTGGCATCGCTGTTAATTAGGTTTTGTTCCCAAAACTCCAGCTTTTTGATAAATGCTTTTATATCAGAAATCATTTCCGCTAGTTCTTTGTCTCTCCCCTGAAGCTGCAAATTAAGTTCGTTTAATTTCTCTGTAATGTCCACGAGAAAACCAAAATCTCTAAGCCAGATTGAATTTTCTAGTTCCGGAGTCGGTTCATCGCGTTGTTTGAAAAATTGAACTATGCCAGATAGGACATCATTAAAACGTTTCAGCATCCGTCCTCTACTAAACCATCGGACTTCAGAGTGAAGGAGTAGGTCCCCGTATTGACAGCCAACTTCATCGGCCAAGGTTTTGAATAATCTTTTTTGTAACGCTTGAGCTCTAATCTTGTTCACAATTTTTCCACCAGTTTCATAACGTTGTTTAGTTTCAGGAAATTTCCACATAATGCTTGCTGATGGGTAATGCAGTGGTAACAGAGAAATTGCGGAAAAGTTTCATCTTTACGACATAACGCCACCAGACTCTTATCACAACCCACCATAGCTGGAGCGCCATCGGTTCTCAAGCCTACCATTTTCGATATAGGAATATTCTCGGAAGAAATAATATTTTTTAAATGAGAAAACAACTCCTGTCCACTAGTGTGTCCTTTCAGTGGAATAAACTTCAAAAGATCTTCTTTAATCGTAAAATCACTAAAAACCATCCTGACGAACACAATCATCTGGGCAGTGTCAACGACATCTGTTGATTCATCCAGTTGAAGTGAAAAATAAACACAGTTATCTAAGTCAGTTCTTAACTGTAAAAAAATATCATTGCTCATTACTTTTACACGTCTCGTCACTGTATTAGCAGAAAGTTGCATAGATTTTATAGCTGAAACTATCTCGTCTTTATTTCTAAAGTTGGCAAATAACGAATCAGCAGCTTCTAAAAACGCCTGTATTATCATTTCCCCGTCTTCATAAGGTTTTATTTTTTGTTCAATTATCTGGGAAACACGGTACGATGCTTCAGTTCCAGCCTTATTTTTGTCGACTGTTCCTAAAAATATTGATTGTTGTCCAATTAACTGCTTTTTAAACTGTTTCAGTTTCTCCTTTCTGGCGGCAGAATGTAGTGGGAATGATTTTTCAAAATTAGAATGTACAGTTTTATGTTTTTGTTTTTTAGCAACGGAGACCGAAGTATAACATAACAAACACACATTTTTATTTTTAACTTCTGTAAAAAAAGTATTGTTCTTCCCATTCCGAATGAAAGTGGTATGTCTTTACCTTCTTACAACTGCTTGCCATAATATAATTTTTTTTTGTTCTCTACTAACCCAACCACTGGACGTTGTTTACGCGTTCAGTTTTAAACTAAGCGCAATGTCGCCGCGCGTATTTATCCCGTTCAAAGCAATCCTGATCGTTCTCGAACACTAACGCGCTGGTCCGGCTGGTCGGTTCTAGCCGATTCTAGCTTGATGGCGTCAGCGGCAGATCGCTCATCGCAACGTTGCCGCTGTTTATGTTTAATATTATGACAATTAGATTTTTTTGTGGAATTTTCGGAAGCTTCTCAGTTTGTATTTTTTAAATTAAAATCGTTGTGAGAACTACCAGAACGCCTCCGCGAGCTACCGGTAGCTCGCAATCGACAGGTTGACGATTACTGATTTAGGCCTATTGTCAATGCATTGAAATTTTCAATGCACGTCATAAAATCATGGAAGTAGACGTTGTTATATTGATACAAAATTCAAGGATCTCAAGAAACATTGAGAAATCTAATTCTACAATAAATGTTGGTTATTAATTTGCTTATTTTCATACTATGGCTCTTTTCTCCTACAGAATAACTCCATAAATGGTCATTATATTCATTCGAATATGTATTGTTTTAGGAGTTTCATTGCGAAAGAGAAGAGAAAAGCTGCATTACGAGCTCATGTAAAACCGTTTTCGTTTACAAAAAGGGATGAGGAGATTCAAGAATTGACAAGAGAATTATCAAAATCCTCTCCAAACTTGTATACTGATCCTCCTTTAAAAATTAAGAAGTTTAAAGCTAAACCAATACCCAGGAACTTATTTAGTAATTACATTTATCGAAAGATGCATGAAGATGAATATTACAGGTAATAATTATATAAATGGTGTTGGGGATTTACTGATTTAAATACCGTCAGGGTACATCACAAAGTGCCTAACTCCATTTAGGCAAAGTTTTCAGGAGAATCAAAAAACTAATTTAAATTACAACCCTTGAACCTATTAAAACAGCTTTGATTTATGATTTTTTTTATTTCAACCCTCCTTAAATCTCCAATTTTTAATCAGATTTTTTTTAAATCAAAAACCTTCTTCCTCTTCTTCAAATTTGAATAAAAATTAAATATTTTTAGAGCGCTGCAGAAGAAAATTCGTGCCGAAGAACTTTTCAGAGCTGCTTCTTTACCTCCATCAATGGCTAGGAGAGAACGAACGAAGCCGAAACTGAACGTCTGTCCTCGATCTTACAGCAGTCTCTCTAAAGAGGAAAAATCGATTAAAAAATCAAAAAGCGTTCCTGATTATAAAATTTATCATGACAAATACGAAAAAGAGTTGGAAGATTTGAAAAATGAATTTATTTCTACCAGTCCTCGACCTTTTAAACTCAAAACGTCAAAAAGAGTAAGTAAACATAATTTTTACAAGATATTTTAAACAGTTAATATTAATATGACTTTACAGTATACAAAAAGTAAAAGTTTTATTATTGAAAAGTATAGATGGAATGATTTTGTGAGGTTATGTTTCATAATGTTCTGGCTCTCTTAGGTTTATTCTACTGTCATCAAATCCCATAAGAATTGCTGATGTAATTCACACCACTAATGAGAAATGTGACACAGGGCACCATCTTACATAAACCACATATCTAGTTTTTGGTTTCAGGGCAATTATTCCAACTCATCAAAAATAATAGTTTGTGCGTCAAATAAAGTTGTTAATAGACTCTGTGGTGTTTCTATAAAATCGAATAGTCCAATATATTGGATTATTGTTATAAAAATAGCTATTATTTTGTTAAAGGGAAGAAGACATTTAAGACTCTCTTCTGCAAGTAGTAAAAGTTCATCATCGAAAACAACTACGTCTCCATCTTTCAATACATCATCTATTAATACGTCAAATTTGGCAGCGGTTCTCAGAATACAATCAGCAAGGTAATTTCTGAGTAATGCAGTATCTTAGAGTAGCAAAATAATACTGTTAAGTTTGAAATATTTAATAAACCTTCTAAGTGAGTTGTTTTTAATTTATTTAGAACTTTTTTTTAGTTTCATCCTGAACAGTGGCTTACCATAATATTTTCAGCAACATACTTTATCTACTATAGCTTATTTGTATTTTTAAATTCACATTTTTTTGTCCAATATGCGCATATTTTTACATTATTTATTATCTAAGTTTATCTATGTATAAAGGTTAAGATTTTTAATGTGCGTGACTTACAATATAGTAGGTGAGAATGCTTGGGTTATCTGTATCTGTATCTGTAACGTGTGGAGGGTGGGTTACCCCACGGCCCTTATGCCTCATTATGCCCATTGTGCATCCTCCCTAGTGAATCAGCAAGACGGTTACCTTTAGATGTGGAGCGAACTTTGATTCATCTTAAGATGACCACAATGTTGATGGATACTTCGGCCAAAGCTTCGCGACATTCTAGTACTATAGTCTATTTTTATGTATGAGAGAGTATTAAAATATTAAAGCGTTCGTAATCCATAGGCGTACCACTTCTTTTAGTAGACAGTTAAAATATTTTTTGAAGTTATTCCTCGAGTATACACTTATATTTTCACCTAATTAACCTGCTTATAACTTCTAAACAGCTGAAGGTAAAAAGTGCAATTTTTTTCTAAAATGTTTTATTTTTCCACAAGGTATGTTAAGAACATTGTGTCAAACGGGTTATGTAGGTATAAGGGTTTAAACTTTGACATTTAAACAACGTTACGTTCATAAATAATAATTTTAATATAAAAACTACTTCTTACCTACAAATCCAAATCAGAATCGAAATCAGAAGATAAACTGTTGCAACCAATATTTACAATGAGTGGCTGGATCATTTCATCAGTAATATTGTCCAACTTCCACATTTTCTCTTCTTTAAACGTATGATTTACTGCCTTTTCCCAGTTTTCAGGCTTCACATTATTTACAGCCTCCAAAAACAACTGTTTAACATCACTCATTTTGAAAGAATGATTTTTTCTTGAAACTTCTCCCTTTATCTGTGCCCATATCAGTTCAATCGGGTTTACTTCGCAATGATATGGTGGTGATCTAACCACCGTCATCCCACGATTTTTTGCAATTACATCAATTTCATATTTTTTGAATTTCTCTTTATGAAGGGAACAAAAATGATACAGTTTTTTTCTCACAGAACCGGGATGGAACTTAATATTCTTTGAATTTAGCCAATTCTGTAAATCTTTTTTTAACCACTTGGTTGTGGGCAAGTCTCGAGTGATAACTTGCATTATCCATTACTATTATACAGTTCTGAGGAAGAAGATCTATAATTTGTTCGAACCACTCTTTAAAGACATCAGCATTCATGTCCTTATGGTAGTTACCGGTACGAGTAGATTCAAAAATCAATAAACCACCTTTAACAAAACCGTTTGAACTACCGATGTGTACTATTATTAGTCTGCGCCCCTTTCCTGATGGTGGATTTAAACCAGTAGATACATTATTTAAAAAAGCCTGTCTTCGACTTGTAACAGTTTCATCTTGTTAAAATTTATTTGGTTTATGTCCCTCGTTGATCCATGTTTCATCTAAATAAAATATATTTCTTCTTTGGTTTCTCATTTCTTTTATAGTCCTTAGGTAATTTCTTCTCCATACTACAATATCGCTTCTTTCTATTAAAATAGACTTTCTGGAATGCTTTTTCCATAGAAAATCTATTTCTTTTAAAAGTTTCCATAGTGTGCTTCGACTCATTTCAGGTTAATCCTTATCATCTCGAACCGTGGCAAGAACTTTGTCTACTGTCGGAAATTCTTTTCTAAAGAAGAACGCATGCACTTTCCTTTGAAGTCTTTCTTTCAAAAGATTTTCTAATTGAAATTTTGGTTTTCCTGGAGCTTTACGTGCTGTTTGAAACTCGCCACATTTCTCTTCTTTAACAACTCTGTAAATCGTAGATTTCCCAACACCAAGCGTACTACTAACTAATTCCACTGTGTCATCAAAACTTTTACATAAATGTTTGTCTGTAAATGATTTAAAACAATTAGATATTAATGTTTTTTCATTAACTGTTAAAGGACCGATTTTTTGTCGTTTACGCGGCCCTTCCATGATCACACTAGAATTTACACTGCACCTTGCAAGTTGCAACTAAACGACATTTAGTAAACTGTCAAGAATACACAACTTGGACCTCCTTACTAAACGGAAAACCTATAATCGCATTTTCGGTGAAATTTGTTGGGAAGGTATTTATCTATTTATATTTCAATTACTGTAAGAAATTCTTGGAATTAAAATAAAACAAAATTGGCAAATAGGTACTTATTGAAAATAATCTTAAGATACGGCTATGTTATCTTTAATACACAGGGCTTTTGGCTTGTCCAAACCTTTTTCTATTGTTCTGTACAGCTTATGTTTATAAAGGACCAATAAAAGACCCAAAACTTGTAATAGCTCAGGTACATTTATTACAATTTTAGGAAATATTTAGATTATTCTGTAAAAATATTTAAAATGACCGTACTAAGTTTTGCATTAGAAATGCTGTTTTATTACTCTCATACATACAAATAGACTATAACCCTAAGTAAATTCGGGGTCTGTTCAGGGTGAGTAAGGCTTGTCTGCTATCTGTATAGATTGGGTTATGGCAGATAAAAGATCCTCTAGGTATTTTACCTAATAATGTTGAGCAAAAGCGTTATATTATAAAAGTTTATTTTTTAAAATATTCAACAATCTGCATTCAACAATTACCTGACAATTTTCATGAAAATAACCTCTGCCAGACTTTTTTACGGTGTTGAAAAATAACTGCACTTTATAGAAACTTCTTTATTCGTAATTTTTAATTTATGGTAACTTTATTTTGTACTCTTGAGCTAAATTGACATATTTTTTTATCTCCCTCGTATTAGGTTACAATTTTTTTAATATGTATCAAGTTTGTACTGAGTTATAGGTCATGTACTAACTTTTAAAAAGAGCAATATTTTCTGAGAAAAAGATAAAAAAGTTATCTATAGTGCAAACATTTTTTGATACCTTGAAAGAGTCTGGCAGATGTAACCCCTCGCAAAAAGTGTCAAGCAATTGTTGATCGAAGATTATAGTTCTTTAGTATAATATTTTTTGTCGCACATTTTTAGCTAACTAAAGGACCTATTATCTGTCAAATAAGGTTCATAACATCCAAACGGTATTATCTACTGGGATGTTCACAGACATGAAGAATCTTAACCTTCATACTATAAAGATCCACAGATATGGATTAGAGGAGAGAGAAAATGTCATTTTATTTAAGTATATTTTAAAAAGAAAAGACTCACGCGTCTGTGCATTAATTGCATATTAAAGTGTACAGGATAGGACTAACACATTTAAACACAATCCGAAAATATTAAAGATTTAATTATACAATAGAACTAATAACTCTAAAAATTCGTAATACAATTTTCCTATTGTTCTTTTTTATGGTTTTAAGAGGCTTTTTTTAAAATCTTGTTTGAAATTTGACAGGCATACAATATTGTATGAACCTCAGACATTACTAGATGTTTATACCTCCTCGAGTAACATTAAGACCTTTGGTACACTCGGATTAGTAAACTTAACACTTTCGTGGCATACACACCTATTTAATCCTATATAAATCACTATTATTATGGATTATAGCTTTTAAGTAGTGCTTAAATTATTAGTTTTGTGCTTGTTGTTGGGGAAGTATTCACTAATAGTAAAATATTTTTATTCACTTTCGGTATTAGGTATAGAATAGAGAACTAGTTTCGAATTATAAAATACGTTATTATTTTAAATGTATTTGTTTACTAGAAACAAGCTGGAAGTCGAAATGCTTAAGAAACTAGAAGAAGCACAACTCAGAGAGGAAATGAGATGGCGAGAAAAGTTATTTCGGAAGAAACCGATTTGGCAGACACTAGGACATAGCCATGAAGAAGATCTAGCTATGAGGTTGCAGCTACGAAGAGATGAAGAAAGATTGAGACACGAAGAACATAAAATGAGAATGCAGCTAATGTATGGGAGGGTCCAGCAGAAACCAACTCTATTCGAGAGGCAATCACAAGTAAGTTACCTATTTATATAAATTTTTTCATAAAAGTTTTTGTTTGTCTCAAAACTATAAATAATCAAACAGAAGTTAAATATCTCTTTGCTTTAGTGAAATAATGGCAAAAATGTAAAAAAAATAATTATTGCACTAAATCAAAGAGATATTTTACTATTTAAATTGTTATTTAACGTTTTCTCTGAAAGTTGAAAATAAAAAAGTTTTTCCTCTTCTTCAACACCATGTATATGTTACATAAATAAGGGATATACACATCTATATATGTTTTTTCAAATTCGAAATATTAAATCTAGAATAAGAGTATTATAGAGAAAATTAACTAATTAATAATAACTATATATTTTTCAGTTCAATCAATGTTCAAATTCGTTTTTTTTTAAGATGAAATATCCAAAAACTCGAGAAGAACTTGAAGATCAACTCAGAATTATCTACGGAAAACCATTGAAGAAACATAATTCAGAAATAAGTAATTTATCTCATAAAATGTCTACATTAAATGATTGTAATGAACATTTTAATTCGGACATGGGGGATAGCGAAATAAGTAAAGAAAAAGAAAGTATGGAGGAAAAAGAAAAATGCGACTGTCTAAGTGACGATATATCTAATGACAAGTATTAAATAGAACGTTATAAAAAAGAATGTAGTGAACCAGTGTTTGTCCTTTCACTGTTAGGTTAAAAAATATTACTCAAAAACTCAAAACAAAAAAAGAGACATTTTCGTTTTACATTTTATTTGTACTTGGTAAATATAGTTTAAAGATTGGTGGCAAAAATGTATTTTTATGAACAGCTTTCTTCATGTATTTCAGCAAAAAACATAAAATACAATTTTTTTACTAAGAGAAAATTACATTTATCGTGAAATAATAAAAATAAATGTCAATTTTTTAGGTAAACATGAAAGCATAAAAAGAGATTATGATTCAGATTAGCGCTACATCAACTGCATCGTGCAATGTTACTTTCCAAAAAAGAATACTTCTTAATGAAGCTTTGGGTCACCATTAAGAGTAGATTAGATTTAAGAGTAATGTGCATATCCTTTAATCGCTGTTTAGACACAGCTTATACAATACAGCTCCACAACTCCGTGTCGGCGCCTTTGATTTGGTGGTCGAGAACCAAGCAAGACGGAATGGTGCTATCTCTGTTAGATTCGACGGAAAAGTCGGGCCCGGATTAAAAAATATTTTTAGTACTGAAATAATTGAAAAAGTTGGCGTAATAAGGTTGGTTACATGCCAAGTAAGATTTGAGAAATTAAGTTTTAAATTTGTTTTAAACCTGTCAAATATAATTGAAAAAATTATTTAAATATAAATATTACGAAAAATAGCACATCTTTCGGATTAGAGGTAAAATAATTTGTATGTGACTAGTAATATCCTCGTTAACAGATGTTTTGAGCTAAAACAGTCACTTTACGACAAATCGTGGTTTGGATCCTTCTTACACTAAGGGCTTCAATTGTTAACGAATTTTGTCACGCCCGTGGATGCATTTCAAGTAGTACCCCGTGTGTCTGGAAAGTGTTACTCATCACGCAAAGGGTTTAAACCTATATAAACGAATGCTTCGATTGAGGTCTGGAAACTCTATTGTATTCTGGAATTATAACGAATCGGTCACTTGTGCTTTTATTTTAATAGTATTGGTTTTATTTAGATATATTCTTATTTAGTGGACCACAGAATTGTAGAAGTAATACTTTGGCAGTTTTTATTAATATAATATTTTAATTTTTATCTGACCATACCGAAGTAGGGAATTTTGAAACTTTATAGTAATGTGAAATTTGAATTACAATATTGCACGAAATTACGTAATTAGTACTAATTTTACGTAGATACTAAATTTGTACTTGGAGAAAGTAATATCGATTTTTATAAGAAAACTTGAAAAATAAATTAATTTAGTTCTTTTATTAAAAGGTAACCACACACGTACCTAATAACAGTTTTCTATAGCAACTCATCTTTACTAAGGCTGTTAATAATTTTATCATAAAATAAATTACAGGGTGTTCCATTTAAAAAACATACATCTTAATTTGCCAGGCAAAAACGCGACACCCTGTATATCCAAAGATATTTTTAAAATATGTAGGTATTTTTCAAATCCATATAGCTTTTATTTAAAACTTTTTTGCGTGTCTACAACACAAATATTGAACAATTACGCACTAATGGGACACCCTGTATAAATTATATTTTTAACAATGAAAATTTCTTATAATGTGGTATTTATCGGTTTGGGCCCTTGGGAAAACGAAAGCAGGTATAACCCTTATTAAAACAGCTTTTGACTGCACAAACACTCATTCTACTCACAGCTAAAGAGTCACCAAATAATAACAGTACCTTTAACTTAACACAACGGAGAGCTCAAACAAAAAATCAACGAAATTATGCAATCAATGAAATTATACGCACGGCCCATTACCTTACCTAAGTACGCTTCTGAACGCCAAAGCCGTCTTTTCCGTCGGAAGGCGGAGCTTAAGCGATGCGCGAAGGAATCGACGCAAACCGTTGCCGCCAAGAGAGTGTTTTAGCTGCATTGTATAAGCTGTGGTTTAGAGTAACCTTGTCTAGTTCGGTGTTTTCTGTTGTGTTATCTACTATCTCCCCTACTGATAAGCAACCAGTAATACACGGCGTTGTAAGCAACCAGTAATACACTAGGCGGGGAAGGGTTCGCTTTAGACATGTGTAACGCAGTAAAAATTTTTGCGTTGATACACTAACTCCGGCGCACTCTATTGCGCCAACTCATTGCGTTAACGCAATTGCGTTATTGCGTCACACCACTGCCTGCGCCGAATGAAGTCGATGCACCTCGGTGTATCGCATGATACCGATGTTATTCAGCGCGGGGCTGTCAGACCGTGTTCAAGGCAATAACGCAATTGGGAATTTAACTAATTTTTTTTTATTATATATTTAAAAATAAACGAAAATATAACAGTGTAATGCACCCATTTTTTTATTTCATTATGTTCGGATTTTACAAAGAATACAAAAATTCCAATTTTTATAAAAAGGATATAACTTTTGCCTACTAGTAGCCAATCAAAATGGGAAGAACTAAAAACTGACAGTGTACAAGGTTAAAATCCATAAAATTCGACCTACAATCCTACAAATGATGTGACATGTTGCAAAGAACATAATTACTTGATAAATTTTGGGTAATCTGCATTACTAGTTGCATCAATTACGTAAATTAAAATTCTCAATCCGTCACGGAAAACGGAATCAATGCCTGGTGTATGGCGTATCAACAACTCGCGATCCTTTCGACTCAGTATCGAAAATTGCGTGGCGCTGATACAGTAACAGCTGGTGTATCAACGCTCGTAACGCATACAACTGCGTTAACGCAATAACGCAACGCAGCGCTGCGTTACCCATGTCTAGTTCGCTTTGTGAGGTTATGTGGTAGACGAAAAAAGCATGTATTTTGTGTTAAATAAACGACCAGTTCCAGTCTTAGTTTATGTTTGATTCATTCAATAACAATACATTTTCTAGTAGACTCCATATACTAGGAAGTAGTTCTCAGGCGTAGCTAGTTATCCTTGGTTTTTCTTCTCCAAGTGTAAGAAATCTCAGTCTTAATAGACCTTCGCAGTAGCACAATATGTGTTTTACAGTTTGCTTCTCTTCCTGACAGAATCTGCATAATGTCTCTTCTGTCTATTATACATATATATGTTTGTTAAGCCTACAATGCCCTGTTTAATAGACCTACTAGTACTCTAGTATTTTTTCTATTATGGCCTAGTAGATGCTCGGTGAGTTTAGGCAATGGTTCTTTTAAGAACTCTTTGACCTGTCTCTGTCCTAATAATTTTTTTCATCATTCCTAAGATTTTTTATTTAGCCACTGCTTTGTGCATGTTCTGATAGCTGTCACCACAGAAGGGTTATGGGCCAATAATAGCTTTTGAGGCTCCTTCTCGAGCTAGTAGAGTGGTCTCGTAATAATAATAATAATAATAATAATAGTAATAATAATCGACTTTATTATTTTTAAACTAATATACATATTAACATTTAATTCTTAAAATTAAAAACAAAAGGCGAAGTTCAATTTATCTGTTGATGGATCACCAGTAAATTGTTCTTCCACTCAATTTGAAATTAAATGCCGCTAGTCTAATGTGAATAGTAACAAACAATAAAACATATTACCTTATACTTTGCCTTTGCTATAGAACCAATAGGGTTTAATTTTACATATTTATTTATAATGTCTCAACGCAATGATTCCTTTATTACCGTTTAAATAAAAATTGTTTAAAAGCCCTTTTAAATTTGTTTATTGAGTAAATTTTGTAGAATGCGGTGATATGATTATAAATAGAACATATTTGGTATGTAAATCTGCATCTAAAAAGTTCTAACCTTAAAAAACTAGGAGAAAGAATGCCCTTATATCTAACATTTAGATTGTAAATGTGAGTTTCGATGGGTCACTTTTTTGTGCAAGTAGGAAGGTGTCTTATTAACTAGAATTTTATGGAAAACTACTGCTGCATGCATAATCTTTTTGTCGGCCATGTTTAAACAGCCATTCTCTTTCAGTTTGTGACTGATATGTTCTCTTCTACGAATACCGTAATACTCGTAGGAGCATCCATTATTTGGCTGAGACCAAAACATTCTTATACATTTATCAGTTTATCATTTTATTAGAAGTAACATTATCTACGTTTAAAAAGTCAATATTTAGATCTCCACTGCACAGGACCTCATCCACAGTAGGATACATTAAACTCAAATTCGTCAATAAAATAATTCTTATTCATTCAGGGGGGGGGGACTTGTATATTGCACCAAGAGCTTTACTCTTGTTTGCTACTTTTATCTTTATCCAAAGATATAGTTCTTTGATAATTCAACTGTTCACTATACAGGGTGTTCGATAAGTATGGTAAATAACTTCAGGAGCGTATTTTGGAGCTAAAATAAAGGTATTTTTGTCATATACACTATGTCTCAAAAATGCTTCGTTACGGAAATATAGGGCGTAAAAGTTAAAAAAAAAAAAATACAATTTTTTAAATATTTCCAAAACCACTTGAGATATTTTAATTAAATTTTCGCAGCTTTTGAGAGTTAGCAACGTTGCGTGTTTTACTTTAAATACACTGACTTTCGTTTAACCAGTGGCGTGCGGACAAGGTAAACTTTCACACCCTGTATTTTCGTACCGAAGCATTTTTGAGTCATAGTGTATATAACAAAAATACCTTTATTTTAGCTTCAGAATACACTCCTGAAGTTATGTACCGTACTTATCGAACACCTTGTATATGTATTGTATCGTTAACATAAATACACAAGCCTCCTCAAAATCATCCACGGTCTAGTTGAAATATGTTGTAGTCTTTAAAAGAAATTACATCATTTTTATTAAGCCAAGTTTCACATATAAATAAAATATCAATAAAAATTGTTTTTGATTTTGAAAATTTGGTAAAAGAGATCTTGCGTTGAGACATCCTATATATAAATTATCAAGCATTCCTAAATAATAATTGTTTCAAGGAAAAGTTTAAAGTAAAAAAAAGCAATTTAAAAACTGTATAGGTAAAGAACTCAAAATGTTATGTTGG